ACACCGAGTGGGGGTTGGCAATTGGAACATTTTTTCTAGAACTGGGACAACCATTAGTTTGGGATACTTTAGTGGGACAATTACACCGAGTGGGGGTTGGCAATTGGAACATTTTTTCTAGAACTGGGACAACCATTAGTTTGGGATACTTTAGTGGGACAATTACACCGAGTGGGGGTTGGCAATTGGAACATTTTTTCTAGAACTGGGACAACCATTAGTTTGGGATACTTTAGTGGGACAATTGTTTGTGTGGTTTCAAATAACACCGAGTGGGGGTTGGCAATTGGAACATTTTTTCTAGAACTGGGACAACCATTAGTTTGGGATACTTTAGTGGGACAATTGTTTGTGTGGTTTCAAATAATTTATAACCATTGAAGTATATCAGTTATGCATCTTGATGATAAGACCATTATTTATACGTTTTTGAAACTTACTATTACCTATTAATAATTATTCTTTTTAATATTAAGTAATCTTGAATAACTATTAGTTGGGCTATAAGATTTTATTATAATAATAATTGTATTTTTTGGAATTATTTTGATAAAAAATTTAAAGACAAAATTTTTCCTCTCTCTTTTTTTCGCTCTACCAAATACTTTCCCCTCATTTCTTAATTTCAATTAATTTTAATAAAAGTATGGATTTATAATTTTTTAATTTAAATTAATCATACATATTTAATATTCAATTAAAAAATGAAAAATAACATATAAAGAAAAGAGTAAGAAGAGATGTGACATGATCTTATGGTGTGCTTCTAAGAGGATGGAGAAACAAAATATGAAAAAAAAAATAGAATTTTTTTTTAAAACACTCATCATACACTTCTTGGACAGTCCTTTTCCTTTAATATAGGCATATACACTTATTCATATGTGTTCTCAAGTATACAATTCATATGTTAATTTAAAACACTTATCATTCGCTTCTTGGACATGGTCGGGTTCATAATTATTCTTTTTCTTTTTCTTTTTCTTTTTTTTTTAATGTGACCTCCCAGGGAAGAATTCTAACTCGTTTCCTCTAGTCTTTAATCTGTCATTTTCTCTGAAATGAAGAGCTAGCTTATAAATTTTCACATGCTTTACATGTTCAACTTATGATGCATTTTCATATGCTTATAAATGCTTTACATGCTTTACATGCTTTACATTTTCTGTCTTTTTTTCTTAAAGGTGAACAATTTTCTACCTATCACTGGTCTTTAATATGTCATTTTCTCTGAAATGAAGAGCTAGCTTATAAATATTCACACGCTTTACATGTTCCACTTATGATACATTGTTTTAAGCTGGCTTTCATTTTGCTTTTGTTTTTGTATTTATTTATTTTGCAGGTATGTGGGGTAAAAGACAAGCGCCCGGATAATATCTGGTTGGCAGCTGAGGGTGTCTATCTTCCTGTTAATAGTAGCAAGTAAAAGGAATTTCTTTTTGACACTGTTGAGTGTTGAGGGCTGATCTAGTATTATTTATAGGTACGAAATTATTAGGGTTCCCTTCTCTAAAGTGATTAATTAGAAATATTACTATTCCTATTTTCATCAAGCAGCTTATTATGATAATGTCTTCCAAATTGTTTGATTAATTGTGTACTTGCCAAGAAGCTATGATCGCATTAGTGGAGGCTTTATTTCAATACTCAGATGGACAAACACTTGCTGCCATGGATTCATGCCTTAAATGGCTTCTATCTAAATTTGGTTGGTGAGGAACTGATGAGAAAGTGTCAAGAATATAATGATATTTTCTCTCAACCACTGTCACTTTGTTTACGAGTATGATGTGTTTCTCTCAACAAGATCATTTTGTTTATGATAAATAAAGTTGGCTAGACTGTTCAGAGAGAGATTTATGAGGTCAAAAACTATTGCAGCGTTCCTCAAATGAAAGAATGAATTAGCTCAAGGGTGTAGAAGCGTGAAATGACAAAATGGTAATGTAGTTTATTTATATTACCATTGGCATTTGGGAACTAACATTAGGATTTGGAAGGTTGATTTAAAATCAAAGGATTTTAAAATCTAAGATTTGAAATACATGATTTGATGGAATCTCTTGGTTGGATGTTTTTACTAAATGTAAGGATTTGAAATCAAAGATTTGAAATCTATTGTTTGGATACACTTTATTATATATGAATTTAGATTCCGAATTGATATTTTAAGAAAATTTACGCTTTAGAATAAGTTTCACAAAATCCCCTGAGAAGTTTGGCCCATTTGAGATAAACCTTGAAAAGTTTGAAATTGTCACTTAACCCTTGAAACTATTGTGTATTTCTAAATCTATTTTCTGATAAGCCCCAACATTTGAGGGGTTATTTAGAAACTTTTGAAGGTTAAGTGACATTTTCAAACTATTTGGGCTTTACTCATAATAGACCAAACTTCTTGGGGTTTTTTTTGTGAAAGTTACCGTAAAATACAGTAAAATGCTATAAACACCCTTAGAAGTGACTGAACATAAAAAATTTTACATTTTTTTGTGCAAACTTTTTTCTTATATTGCCCAGAAGTGTGTGGATGTTGAAATTTGCAAATGGTAAATTAGTCTACTCAATAAACATGATGACTGTGATCTATTTAAAAGTCTATAAAATTAGAGAAACAAGAATATGAAACAAATCTCTAAATGGTTCTCAAAACAATTCATGAATATCATTCAAAAAAGTTTCGGATTGTCTAGTATTCCACCAATTAATAACCCAAGGTTCCAGAATTTTTTGAAAGGAGAGAGAGATCGACCAGAGCAAAAATACTATAGATGCAAGATATGAGAGGGAAGTCAATGCTTTCTTTTTTTTTTTCAATTTTGATTTGTGCATTGTTAATGAACTGCTTCATTTATCAACTCTATTTGATCTGATGTTTCTCTAAAGCACAAGTTCTATAGTAAGCATAACTATATACCTTGTTATCTAGCCCAAGCCTTTACCAAAGGAAGAAAAATCTGTCATACCTAAAATAAAACTTTGAGAAGTGATTAAAAGCCAAAATTGATCACCTCGATAGCAACTTATAAATACTCATGCAAACATCTCATTCTTCGTGAACCGATACGAGAGAATACGAATAATAATAATGATGTACGAAATATTCATTATTATAGCATTTTTTTCATGGTTTCATCCATTACCACATTGACCTTCAATCTTTAAAATAACAAGAATACTACTCCAATAGGTAGCTATGATAGAAGACTTGATAACACAAAACAGTTTAGCAAACAATCCACATAAGAAGCTCTAGGCTACACAGTAAGCCTTCGTTTAAAACACAACATATGATAGGTAGTAGATAACTAAGATTTTCTACAATAGGCTAAATGACCACAACATAAACTACTAAAAGAAACCATATCAACAATCGTCTATTTATCCTTCAAAGTCTTCTCCGGCTTTCTCTCATATGCTTCCAACTCATGTCTTGGACAACTTATTGGGTCGTACATTACAAAATTTAGCATTAATTAGTTCACGAAACAAAATACTCTTTAAAACAGAAATAATATTTACTACACAGGCAAAGTCAATTTGCAACCTCCCTCCTGTCACCAAAACCATCCTTCTAGTTAAACAATTAGATACGCATCGGCCCATCTTGTTGACCGTCCCAAAATTAACAGAATTTGATAGCAGCCCATATTTATTTAACCAGAAATTTAGATATTTTGCTTAAGGTTTCTTCGCCCATCATACTCCCTTTAAAAGCACGAGTTCAAGGAGAAATCATTCATTGGTCAATATTACCCTTCATTATTTTGAATATTTTATTTATATCTTAATCTATTTTAATCATAATTACATCCTATCCTAATCCTACGTGAACTATCTATAGGTTAACAATTTAAAAAATAATATTAATAAAATATATAAAACATCTGTATGGTATTAATTTGTTAAGATAAAAAAATTATACGTAGCTAACAAACTATAATACATGAAGTATTGCAAAAAAATCTTTAAAAAGTTTTAAATTAAATTGCACAAAATATTCTAAAAAGTTTAAAATTATAAAAATCATCGTGATGTCTCAAAACTTAAAATAACAAACATAAAATTAAGAAATTAACAGCAGTTTGTGAAGAATTTAAAATTTGGAGTTAGCACCTCAATGTCTCAAAAATTATAGAAACACCCTCAAAAGTTCACAAACAAGCACCCTGAAATTCAAAAATTTCAAAACTTATAAACAACATAGATGAATTCTAGGGATTATCATGATACACACAAAAATTTCTGATATTTTAAAACTTAAAACAACAAATATGAAATTAAGAAATTAACAGTAGCCTCTGAAGAATTTATAATTTTCAATTAACACCTCAATATATCAAAAATTATAGAAACACCCTCAAAAGTTTAAATTATTAAAAATCACCCTAAAATTCTAAAATTTTAAAATTTACAGACAATAAAATATGAATTCAAGATATTACCTTCAGGCACCTAAAAATTTAAAATTTACCGAAATTAACCTCAAAGTTACAAAAATTGTTAAAAATCACCCTAAAACTTTAAAATTTTAAAATTTTAAAATTTATAGACAACAAAAGATGAATTCAAGATATCACCCTCAAGAACCATTAACATTTACCGAAATTAATCTCAAAGTTACAAAAATTGTAAATAACTCCTTCAAAATTTAAAATTTATAACAAGTACACACCAAATCTGGAAACTATTAGTAGACCACTAAAATTTAAATTTTTTTAAAATTAATCTATAGTTTTAATAATTGCAAAAAGCACCCTCAAAATTTTAGAGTTGTATGAAATATCTTGATATTTAAAAAAATTATCACCAATACATGAAATATAGAAGTAATAACTATCAAACTTAAAAGAATTTTTTTTTTGAAAAAACTATCCCAAGGTTTTAAAAACTACAAATCACACCCTCAAAGTTTAAAACTATAAAAAAGTGCTGAAATTTTAAAACTTGGTAAAGAAAAGTGTAATTATTTGGTATTTTTTCATTAAGATGTGTGTGTGTGTGTGAGTAATTTCTAATTGAGGGTTTACTATCCCTTTTCAGCATCTAAAAATAGTATAAGTTGATATTGGTAAATAAAAGTAATAAAAATTGATTAAAAACATTTGGTTAAGGAATAAATTTTTTAAAAATATTATAGCTTAAAATTATCACTACTTTATAAATTAAAGTAACTACATATAATTTTACTAACTAATAGGTTGGAGCAACAAAAATACATTAGTAACATTAATTGATAAATATTTAAATCCATAAAAATTATAAAATACTATAATATAATAGCTTAGCATTAATTAATTATAATTTAGAAACATTAATTTTTGATTTTAATAATATTTATAGGATAAAAGAATATAAAGAATTACATATAGAGAAAATATCAGAATGTTCAGAGATGCCCTTCAAAAGAATTAAGCTATTTTCATTGCAAATGAGAAAGTAGCGGAAATAAATTTAAAATTTAAAATTTAAAAAATATCCATAAATCACTTGAATTAGCATTAACATAAAGCATATCTATTAAAGAAGCACCGACTGAGTTGCGTTAAAAAATTATTTAACAACTTTTATCCCAATCAAAGAAGTATTCTCCATGGAAGATATAAAAAAATAGTAAGTATTCATAAATTTCATACTTTTTTCTTAAAATACTAAAGAAATTAAATATTAATATTACAACTTAAGGGAAATTAGTAATGAAAAATGTAAGTATTTAGTTTAGATCTTTGTGAAAAATGAGAGGGATAGTGCAAAGGTAATATCATTGACATAATGAAAACTCTTATTGGATGCATATTAGAAGAATTTATTGTAGAAAAAAAGATGTAGCTTCTAATCTTATTTAAGTAATAAACTAGGAACACAAAGAATTTCATATATATGAAATTAACATTTATTCTCATTGAAATAAAAAAAAATCAAAGTCTAGATTTTAAGCAGTTTATGTTGAACATCGGAAATACATTTAACTTCTTTGTAAAGTTAAAGAAGAAGATAAAAGATTAATGATCTTAGGAACAATAACAACATAAAAAATATAATTCCAACTTGATATCACAATCGATGTAGATGATAAAAACACGAGAATTACCCAGAAAAAAGAAAAAGATGAAGAAGGATTGATCTTAGCTCAATAAAAAATAAAACAAAAAAAATAAAAGATAATATTTTTTAAATATACTATAGAATAGTTTAATTATTTCGAGTGAAATTAGGAATCTTTAGAATGAAGTTTCATAAACTTTTTTAATATTTTCATATGCTTATGTGGATAGTTTTATCATATAAAAGTATAATAGAGTTAGTATTAATCTTTAATTTATAATTTTTATGAAGTCTATCAATGATTATGAACAAACTTCATATTTTCTTTTATATCGTTGTAGCATACTTTTAGTCAATCATTTTGCCTTATTAGTTTTAAATATTAACCTAACACTATTTTAATATTTTTACTTTTGCAACACTGTATTTTCTGAAGTAAAGCTCGGTTTCATATCGGTCAAAATAATATGAAAATTCAAATTAGCTTCAAATTATATTTGTTTTTTTTTTGTCAATTCAAAGATCAACATGAAAATTTAAATTGGGTGTAACCCATGTAAACAAACATAAAAAAATCACGATATAAAAGTTTAGAGACAAAAGTGAGCACAAACTATTAAAGTGGAACTGATGAACAAATTTTACTTTGAAAATATGCCAAAAATATTTAATCATGGTATTTAACCATGTGCATTGCATGTGTATAAAATCTAGTAAACCCAAAAGAGCTAGTC